CAGCAGCTGCACACCAGAGTGGATATCCCTGAGCACTGTAACTGCAGCATCTTGGGTTGGACTAGGTGACCTTGAAAGGTCCCTTCCAACCCAAACCATTCTAAGATTGCCCAAAACTTTGAGGCTTTACAGCATTTTTCCTATGCTTTACAGCATTCCTGTCAGTCTGTACCAGGGCTCTATTGCAGCCCTACCCCAAAATATTCAGCAGTGTGATGTTATGCTGTACATGGTCAATTCTAGCAGAAATCAAACTTCAGCACAACAGATCATGCCAAATGAGATCAGAGAAGGGCCAAAACCCAATTAGCCAGGGTCAGACTGTCTACAGTAGAATGAGAGTTTGGGAGGAAATTGAGGAGGAATAACCAATTTTGGATGACTAAAGTGTGTTGGACCTAAAGGAAACAGAGACTGGATTTCCCTGTGATTACTGGCTATGTTTGGAGCCCCGCAGCCATTAGCAGCTCCACAAATATACTATATACAATTATTTGTTTATTATGGATTATAAGACCCAATTGGGTTTACCCCAGCTAGAAGAGCATTTAAGACAGAAGATGAGGCTAGAACATGTTTAAAATAAAAGTTTGCTAAGTTCTCCTCTAAGGACATAAAAAACCCACTCAAAACCTGAAGAAGATGGTGTATATCAGACTTAAGTCTTGTAAAACAGGAATTGGTAAGTGTGTAACCTTTAAAATAGCATAAATTGCCATAGCATTGAAAATAATTAGCTTTTCAAAGTGTCCATCCTACAGCAATAGCTGCTGCCACTGTTAATTTACTTGCAGATAAAAATATATGATTAAAGATGTTCTAAAAAGAAAAATTGGACAATTTTTGGCATCCATGATGTTTTAAAGCTCTTTAAAGCATTCAAAACCTGAAAATGAAATGCAGCTGAAAGTAATATGGACATTGAACAAAAAAAGTCTTTTTGGCTCCTGGAAAAGAAAGTATGTAAGGCAGGGGATGAGTGAGGAATTACTTTGTAAGTCAGATTTTTAGAGTCACTCCATAGGTTTCAGACAGGGCTCATTTCTGTCCAGGTTGCCTTCAAGGGCATTCACTGTTTCAGAATTAATCTTCCCATCTGACTTCTGTGACACATTCTACAGTTCTGCTCTGTGAAGTTGCTTCTTAGAAATCACATGTGCTTATTCAACACATTTTCCTGTGGAGACAGCTGTTTGTCTGGAAGATATTACTTAGAAGAAAATGTGGCAAACTACTAGTGAAAAAAGCAGGCTAATTTCTTTTTCAGGATAGTCTCATGGGCAGGGTTAACTGAAACAGGAAACTATAGGACCATTTTCTTCTCTGTGCTTATTTAAACACTAATCTGAAGAGGGGAATCTAAATCCTACTGAATACAGCAGGCTTATGGTGTGCAGCAGCTGCATTACCAAAGAGAAAAAAAGCCCAACCACCTTTATTTCTCATTTTTGCTACGTTGCATAGGTCATTAAAATAGTTTATGTAAAGAGGAAGACTGGCAAATTGGAAATGTTTTCTTTGGACCTCAGAGAGACTGAAAATATTGTGATCTTTTTGGAGTCACCTCTGATAAAGGAAACTCAGCTCCTCCTAACTTGGTTATTTTGCAAATACAGTTAGATTTAACTAAAAGGGTTAGAAATAAACATCATTAGGTCAGAACATCTACACATAAAAGTGAAATCTCTAGAATACTGCAGGAAAGCACAGAGTTCATGTTTTTTTTCTTTTTCCTCTCTCCACTCCATCAAAAAGTGGAAATTTCGGATTCTGTTCCATCAACCCCAGTGACAAAGGAGGTGGCCAAGAGATTCTCTACACCTGATGCTAACCCTGTGTCAACAGAACCAGCCTGGCTTGCGTTGGCCAAGAGGAAAGCAAAAGCCTGGAGTGACTGTCCACAGATCATAAAGTAAAATGTAAAATTCCATCTATATTGCTGACTATTAATTGTTTTCTTTTATTTATGCTGCTTTTTACACATGACAAAACTGAAAATGCATGTATGGAAGGACTGAAAACTGAACTGATAATCATTTTGCTCTACTAGCTCAGTGTAAAGTCTACTCATATATTCCATTGCTTTGACAAACAGCTAAATGAGGTCACGGCAAAAATTTCACAGCCAGACTCTCAAAAACTTAAGAATGCTCAGATACTGGATGTAAATTTTAGCAAGTATCATAATATGGGCCAGAACTTCAGTTCAGAAGTGTATTAAATTCTGTGGGTATTTGGTTCTGGAATTTTAGATCTCTACACTTCAGTGGAGATCGGAGAAATTTTTTTTCAACACTTGTTGAAATCAAGGCAAGATGCATGTTCCCTTCTCTTATACATAGTTATTTCAAAAAATGTTAAACTGTATGAACTGTCAGTTCTGCCTGCTATTTAAAAGCTTTTTTCCTAGTGAAGAACTTCGGGATATGCTGTTCCACCTGCAAATGATAAGTAGAAAGAAGGTACCATCCAATTGCTGAGGTAATTTCTTTCATCACGGGATTAATACACTACATCTATATTCCCACACTCCTAGGAAGAAAACAATTAATCCTACTTAAAAATCCCCACCATTATTTAAATGACTATCATTAAGTTGTCAGAAAGAAGCCAGGGAGTCAGTGTTTCTCCTAGGCACTTAAGTCCATCACAGTTTGTGCTTGGCCTATGTAAGGTGCATAGAGACAGAACTGCAGATTACAACTTTAAATCAATTGAGTGGAATTAAACTGTTCCTGTGCAAATGTAGCTGTAGAATTTGTCTCAGAACGTTTCCACAGGAGTAGGACTGGCAGAACTGAAGTTAAGCAAGAACTGAAAGCTAAGTCAGTGAGAGACTCAGGAAGTCTTAGGAGTTTTAACTCTGCATTCTTCCTGATTTTTTTTCTCTGCATGCAACTTCAGGTAGTTCAGATAACTTCCTGTACTTTGACCAATACAGCCAGAATACTTCAGAAAGAAGTTTACCCCATCTCAGGTATCTGCTGTGGCAATTGAACACTTTATTACTTCACATAATTAAAATAGAAATGTTCACCCCCCTCCCTGTTACAAGAAAGCATAAAGTCCATAATGTAATAAAAATGTCACTATGCTCAGCATCCCACAGAAATATCAAGGTCTGTGTTTTAAAAAGTCACCATAGTTAATAAGTCACCCAAGTTTGTTTTACAAGGGAGACTTTTAAAAAAGTATGACTGTCTCCTTCTTATAACCATAAGGCTCAAAGGAACCTTTAAGCCTACAGTATCATAAAGGAAGACATTTTCATGAGAAGAAATGACATCATTATAGAGTGATACCACATATGCTTCATGGAAGTGTTTTAGCCAAGCTGCTGTATGCAGCATGAAGAGTAGCACTTTAAATTATGCAGAAAACAGAATGAAACCTGCTGTACCCTCCTGTTCCCAGAATCAAAAAGGGATTGTGGTCAGCAAAAGACACTGTTGGGTACACCATTTCCCACCAGACAGCAAATAGTGGCTCAGTATCAATGTTACAATAGCACAAACACAGTGCATGTGTCAGATCGAGTAGATATGGAGCAGCAAGATGGGCTTTCTTGGGTCTTCGGAGCCACCAGTTTTGCTCAGTTTTGTATATAAAACCAGAATCCCTAAAGTAAATTTTTACTCTTAATATAAGTAAGTAATATGTTTAAAACAGAAATGGGGTAATGCTGCTCTTGAATGCTTGGGAAAAAACCAATGCATTCAATATCTGAAGAAAGAATTGGCCCCATAATTATTTTTGCTCTGCCAGCACCAGTGCATCTTAAATTAAATATAAGGTTTTTTCCCAAGTGAGTTATTACAAATACATACTGCAGGCAAACAAAACTGGCTGAAAGCCATCTTTATGATTATTTCTTGGGAGGGGGAGCCAGGTAGAAATACAGAGAAGGTGAAGTAAGTCAGGATTAAATATACTGGTATTCTGAAAAGCATAGCAAAATTAAGTGCTATTGTGCATGACATAAGGATGCAATTTTCCAATACAATCCATTCATAGCACATAGAATAGAGCTTTCATTAAGGATGGTCTTAAGCTAAAGCTTCAAAGCAGAGGGGTTTTTCAGCCATCAAGGTATCTAGTGTAATAATGGAAACTGTATTATGTACAGTATGTGATGGAAACATTTCTAAAGTGTACATGTGCAACAGTGACATTTCATCTTAACAAAAATTTGCACTAAATACCAATGAAGTGAAGTGTTACTGTGCTTTAGCTTTGTTGCAACCATTTCTGATAAAGTACTGGAACTCTGTAAAAATAAACCCAAAACATTACTACCCAGTTTCAAACAGCAAAAATGTTTCAAGAACCGAACAAACCACTATGTAGAATATTGTCTCAATTTTTTGTAACTTATACACACAAAATACCATTTCTTCTGACAAGGTTATATATGATTAACCTCTATGTTCATATAGTAATGTATAAAAACTATAAGATGTATAATTGTGGGGTATTTGTTGTGTACTTTTTTAATTTTTCAAATGTTTTAAAGTGCAATTGTTTATTATACTAATGTCATTTTAATTCTTATTAAACTATAAGCCAGTCAAAATTATCTAATTAATGATATATGTACTCTGTCTCCTTTTGCTAATCATCTAGCTCAGGTTTGCTTTGCAAACAGAACTTTTTACAGTGTTACAAGTGTCTTACCTATGCATGTGTCCTATGATAAAATGGAGGAACCAGATGTGATGAAGCAGCACAGCCAGTGCACCTTCTGTTTACTTTTTAATTCAAGCTGTTAGGATTCAAAGAACACTCAGAGAGAGTGAGGTAATCATTTCTACTACACTTCTTCTAGAAGACTTATAATCAGGAAATGCTCTTGGTGAAGTGCACTTTTGTCACCTTAAATACTTTATTTGGATTATAAAGATCACTGGTACTTATTAAGGCATTAAAGACACCCAACACCAATTCACACAACCCTTTATTGACAGTTCTTGCAAAGACAGTGTAGACAGCAATCATTCAAATATCTTAAAATTATTTGACAGTGGTTGATTTCAGCAGTGCACACTTCATCTTGGAACTCATACCATACCTATCATTGAAACTTAATAAAAATATACAGTATATTCTCCACTTTATAATACAACAGGTAACTCCTACTGACTTCAGTGGAAGTATATGCTAGACTGAACTGAAGCCATGGAGGGCCTAGGTCCACAAAAGAGGAACTATTCAGTTTATACAAACTGAACAGGTCCTCCATTCAGGTATGTGTGATGCAGGCAATGTCTCCAGAAATCAAGTTAAAAGTTAGATTCAAAAAAGGACTTGAGCTACCTGGCCATGGCACAGAAACCTTATCAGACTCGACAAACAGCAGTTCGATGCATGGAAGAGGCAGGCACAGGCTAGGCTGGACTCAACCAGAGCAGTACATTCTTCCCTCAGCAACAAGCATGTTATTCCTAGCTGTGGATTATGGCAGTTTACTACAGCTTCTCCCAATCCTGCATGTGTTTGAAGGCAAACTACTGACTTGAATTTTCAGCACAGCATTAAAACCCAAACCATCTGAAACATGCTCTTGGATGAATTGGAGCTGGGAAATGAGGGAGGGACAGTGAAACATCTGGCCAGGTGTTGAGCAGCCATCCTCCTTCACTCAGTAGAGCCAGCCCATAAACATCCTGTACACTGCCTGGTGCAAGATGCCACCCAGAGAAGCCTGCAAGGAACACCTCTTGCTGCAGTAAAAGAGGCAGAAAGCACCTCTGAGTTTATATATGTAAACAATAAAAATGAAGCAGCCTAACATCTTAGCTGTTCTTTTCTTGGTATATACAGATCTAGGCAATAAACATAATCATTTCTACAGCCGACAACAAGCTTTGTTCCCCATACCACAGGCGAAGAGAAAACCTCTCCTGGAAGCTTATCTGCTCCTTCTGCTGTTCCAGTCTTGGCATTCAGGATCCACACTTTGCCATCTGTAGATACTGCTGCCAAAAGAATTTTGTTATTTAAGTCATCACTTTGGAAAATGAACGGTGTTCCATATACGCTTGAAGTGGCTTCAAATTTCCACAGTAAATTACCCTCCATGTTACAGCAGTAGATAAAGCAATCATGGGAGCCAAAAAATATTTCTTGCTTAGTTAAACTTGAGAGGCATGGAGATGAAAACACTGGCCCATTTGTGGAAAACTGCCAAACCTGCAGAAAGAACACAACTATCCATTATCAAAGGTTTTTCACATTATTAATCTGACAGCAAATGCAATTTTTTAATAGATCAGCTCTTGATAGGAGAGCATTTTATTTCAAGAGTATTCTGGATTTCTCTGAGGGCTTGTCAAATTACAAGTTAATTTTTCCACACAGGATAAGTTATAAAAGTCTCATAAAATAGATGTGGAAGAGTTAGTACCTTCTGTTAGGCCCACATAAAGATGGCCAACTTGGGAAAAGAATATTCTTGGGCTGCTGTACCACAATTAGTACTGAACTTTGAGAATCCTGTTCACATGCTATTCTTTGCCAGAATTGTAGATATTCCTTCTGTAATATAGATTTCCTCTGCTCATGCTAACGATGTGCTGATCCCTCCTCAAAAGAGTATCAGTTCTGTAACACTGCTGCAGACAGAGGGCAGGAGCTAACACATATTTTATGATCAGAAAAGGCTTAGGAATTGCCATGTATACTGCATCTCAGGCCAACAAACTGAAACAGCGTCAATTGTTTTAACACCAGATATAAATTACATTTGTCTCTGAGGAACTAAAAAAAAAGTACTCTCAATTAATTCAGTGTGAAGGCTGACACATACTTTGCCAGAGTTATGATTTGGCAGTTTTTGATAAATGCATAAACATTCTAAGAAACCTTCTCTTCTGAATAGCCACCATGTTACAGAAGAGATGGCTTAAATATACTTGAAAAACTCCAAACTCCAAACCAAACCATCTCATTTGCTGGCACTACACTTGACAATCTACTTTGGGAGTAAGCTCTGAACTAAAAATTCTCTTACTGCATTAAGCAACGTGAGAGTCTGCAGTTTTGCCATGAACTGCATGGGCTACCCTAGGTGCAGAGTTTTTCTTCTTTCTCCACTCTCTAACAATAAACACTTCTTGCTCAGGGTTTTGTGATGAACATAAAAAATCCAACACCACCCTTACCTTTTCTCCAGAATGAGAGTAACAATATAAGTTTCCATCCACACACCCAACATAAACGTATTTCTCATTGCAGTGAGGAGAGGAGAAGAGTGGTTTTCCCAGGAAGCTTTTCCAAATCTTACTTCCTGTCACCTATAAGTAGCAGCATGGAATATGTGATCCTTAATACAACTGTAAGAAGCAGCACAAACCATCATGGCCTGATCTAGCCCTAAGGAAGTGTTGAATCACCCTCTCCCTCCCCAAAAT